AGGTCTCCCATGGGGAGTCAGCAGAGCCCAGCACACTGAGCCTAGGCAGGTCCTTCTAGCTTGTTTTTAAGGTTCTATATTTGTCCATATTCATGTTTGTGGGGTTTTTGTTTGGTTGGTTTTTTGTTGTTCTTGTTTTGTTTTGCTTTTTTAGGCAGGGTTTCCCTGTGTAACAGCTATGGCTGTCCTGGAACTCTCTCTGTAGACCAGACTGGCCTCGAACTCACAGAGATCCACCTGCCTCTGCCTCCCAAGTGCTGGGATTAAAGGCGTGCGCCACTGTATGGCTCAGGTTTGTGTTTTCATCATCTTGTCTCCAGGTTTGAAGCTTAGTTACCATTTTCAATATCATATGGTTTACACGGTGGCTGTAGGTCCCTAATCATCGACATTTGTGCTACTTCTTTAGACAGTCCCTTACTATATAGCCAGGCTAGCCTAGAACTCCTAACCCTTCAGCCTTAGCCTTCCAAGTGCTGGGATCACAGCTATCCACTACCACGTCCAGCTAAACATCAACTTTTGATGGCTAAGAAGATGCTAATAGAAGTTAGACATTCTGTGGCAGTTTCAAGAGAATTTCTACTTTAAGTTAGTTTGTACCTTAGTAGTTATTTAACTTGCACAAATTCAGTCAGAGTTGCAGGTAAAATATATTCAGTTTATAATGATATATAAGGATTTGTTGATACAGTCAAGAAAGGGTTATAGCTTTTGAAAGTCACAGTTTTAAAAATAGCTGGTTTTTTTTGGGGGGGGTTGTAAATACACAGAATAGCCTATGAGGGGTAACCCATGCTCTTCTTCCATGAGTAAAGAACAGCAGCTGCCCTGTAATCATCAAAGACTGTAGACAAGCCAGAGCTGTTCAAAGGTTCTGGCACTGTGCTCTGAGTCGTAATAAAACAATCATCCCTGGGAACTGCTGCTGCCACAGTCCAGATGCCGCACAGACAACCTTGGAACTTGTGCTTTGGACAATTAGCAGAAGATGAACTGGAATCCATCAGTGTGCAGTTGTGCACCATAAAATTCTAGGCAGAAAGCGTTGGTTGCTATGTGGCTTCGGGAAACACAGCTTACACCACAGACCACGTGCCGGGAGGTTTGGGTTACTCCTCCGTACGCTGCTGTGGGCACGGATGGAGCAGGTTCCTGGGAAAGTGTGGGAAACTAAAACAAGTTACTTTGGGAGCGATGTAGTCCTGCGTCCACAGCCTGAGCAATTTGCTTGGCTGGGAGACAGATACGTCCTGCCAAATATCTTCACATTTCAGTAAGTATTCTTAGCTAACAGGACCTCTTTGTGAAGAATGAGTTTACACCATTCGAAGCCACTAGTGGTTCAAAGTGACTTAATTTTTACTTCCATCAAGGGAAAAAATACTTATTCACAGAACTTTTGGGTTTGGGGAAAATCACAAGGTAAAGACTGAGGAGCCCTGCCCTATGGATTCACTTCCTGTGACATAGGTCACAGCCTCCGCCAGCAAGAAGAAGGCATGCCACCAGCTTGCAGGGTTCCAGGAAGGGCTCATGGCTCCGCCCGGATGCCTGGTGTCTGTGCTGAGAGCGAGGCAGGGCACAGAGCTGTCAGTGGATGTCGGAGGCTCCCCTTCTGCTGTCTAGGACCGGCTGCCTGCAGAAATGCTGACGTAGCTCACTGCCTCTCTGTCTCCCGCTAGCTTCTCACTGATCTGTTTGTGTTTTTCTTACCCCGTTGCCCAGGACTCATTCTTCACCCCAGAAGGAAAAGGAAAGAAAGACGGGGCAAACCAGTGTTTGACGTGACAAACGCCCTTAGGTAGCAGAGCAAAAGCCGTCAACACACAGGAAAGCGATTGTGCACACTCCAATGCAGCCCCTAAAGCCCGGACTGCTAAAGCCAGGTGGGGCTCTCAAGATCCTTCAGCACACTTACCCTCTAATTTATGCATGAGAATATTGAGCTCACTCTGTGTGTGTGTGTGTGTGTGTGTGTGTGTGTCCAACTCATCCCTTTGTAGAAAAAACTTTCACAGGAATTAAAAAAAAAGTCTTTTAAAACAATCAACATGTAACATGTGGGGCTATTTAAAAGCACTTAAGTGTAGAGGTGGATCAGCATTAAGGACACCCAATGCTCTCCCAGAGGTTTGGTCCCCAGCACTCACATGGCAGCTCCCAATTGTCTATAACTCCAGTTCCAGGGGATCCAATACCCTCTCCTGGCCCCTGTGCATTAGACATGTATATGGTGGATGTGCCAACATGCAGGCAAGACACTAATACACAAAAACTAGCAACAATGAACATTTTAGAAGACAAAACATATTTAACTTAGACATACATTCCTGGGAAAACATTACTATGTGCAGCAAAGGACAATGGTTCATGACAGTGCAAACTTGGGTCCTGACTACATTACTAATGTGTGCTCTATAGCCCAGAGTCCGGGAACCTAGCCAGCCTTAGTACTTCTTATTAACAACTTGTAGCAGAAATAAACATGGCATCCAAATAGCCAGGTACCGACTATTCTTAAATTTACTGTGATGCAAGTATACTTTTAAACTTTGAGCGAAGATAAATTATTACTAAAGTCAATGCCACCTCACTTGTTCTTCATGGGAACCCCTTCAAGCTGGCCTCTCAACACCCTCCAGTTCAGCTTCTACAGTTCACCTATGTGTTTTCCATGGCGGCCTGAGAACGCACACACACACACACACACACACACACACACACACACACACACACACACACACACACAAATGCTCCTAGAAATAAATGTTCTCAGAAGAAAAGAAAATTCTTTTCTTTCTTACAATCATGATGCAAGTGCCTTTTTAGAAATGTACTGTCAGTAGTCTTGGTCTTTGTCCTGGTTGGTTCCTGGGTTCCTTAGTGCATGCTTCAAACACCACTCTGTAGTGGAAGTTTTCCTGTGTCCTGACCAGTCTGCAGCTGCTCAGACCCAAGTAAACACACACAGGCTTATATTATTAAAAATGCTCGGCCGTTAGCTCAGGCTAACTACTGACTAGCTCTTACACTTAAACTCAACCCATTTTTGTTCATCTATATGTTGCCACATTTTCTGTGGCTTTACCTGTGTGCCATTACATGCTGCTCCCTGGACGGCGGGCGGGCTGGCATCTCCTGACTCAGCCTTCCTCTTCCCAGCATTCTCCTTGTCTGCTTATCCCACCTATACTTCCTGCCTGGTTACTGGCCAATCAGCATTTTATCAAACCAGTGTATGAAAGCATTATCCCACAGCTCCACTCCCACACATATTTCATGGGAGCCACTTGGGCTGGATGCTGCCTGCCCTTAGTGTGTTAAGAAGTGTGGCTCCATTGCTATTATGGAGCCTGAAGCAGAGCCAAGAAGAAGTCTCAGAGGGCTCTCTCCCCAACATGTGAGGAGAAGAAAAATGAAACACAAACGAAGTTCCCAGCTCTGGAGGAGCATCACTGGAGCTGTGTGGTACCCAAGCTGCGAAGATGACCCTGTTCTTGGGAAGAAAAGAAAATTAAAGTATTATTACTGTTTACAGGTCAAGGGCTTTCAAACCTGTTATCAACAGAATGGGTCTTTTTCTCTTGTTTATTATGAGTAGGCATTGAAATGTCTTAACATAAAGGTGTACATTCGAGGCTGGGCAGGGCTGAGTTGAGAGGTGTCTTCATGGCTAAGAACCCAGGCTTCCCATCTTGATGGTCAAATAACGGAGGCAGCAACCCAAGATACTCTTTCATATTAAAGTGCTAGAGACAGTACGTTACTTCTTCCAGAGGTATCTGCTCTCTTGAGGAAGTTGCCCATGGAGCATTAATAACATTTAACTAAAAGGAATATGCAGGAACACAGATAAAACATCAGACATCAGAGTTTGAAGTCATCTTGCCTAGAAAACCATCCATCCAAAGATGGTTCTAAATATAGCTGTCTGATGAGATAATAGGGAAAAAAGGGAGTGTCGAACCTAGCCAGCCTTGCAGGGTAAGTCATGGCTTCTGTATTTTTTTTTTCTTCTTCCTCCTTCCTGTACTTATTATTGGCTCTTAAGAGTTCCAGCAACTTCCTGTCTCTCATGCGGCTGCCCAACTAGACCAGTGGTGAAGGTTCTGGTGAGCATGTTTTGCATGTCTTATCAGTAAAGATAAACCCAGAGCTGAGTTCAGTGCAACATGAACTTAAAGGTTAAAAGAATGAGTAGAACAAATGGGCAAACACGGAGGTGGAGGGTTCGGCCACACCAGACTAACGCAAACAGCATGCAAAGCTGTAGGAATCAGGGATATTTTCATGAGGAAGACCCTGCCCGAGTCTTTATTCCCCCCTTTCTATTATGCTAGGGACTAAAGGAAAACAAAGCACTTTGGTTGTGTCCTGGTCAGAGAACTTACTAGATATTTGCTGACCAGTGCACAGTTGCCTTTTAGTCCATTCCAGCTTGAGCAAAGCATAATCCCAGAGTTTCTCTCCAGCAGTCCCTGAGGGCAGAGAGCATGAGGCAAGGCTACCCTGGGCAGGATATCAAGGGGTTGGTCTGAAAAGGATGTAAAAAAAAACATGTTAAACCCACTGAAAGTCAGTTTGTCATTTGTGACCACAACAGCAAATGTCAGTGATAAGCTACTCTCCTCAACCGAAAATAAAATGTAAAAAACCTTCTGTTGGTCTAGGTTTTGAACAATTGCTGAGGCTGCAGCTGAGTTTTAACCAGTATAAGTGTGAGTTTCCAGTTAGTATACAGCTGGTGTTTCTTTTACAACGAGCATCTCTGTCTACATGGAAGCTGAAGAAAAGGACTAACTCGATGCATTTGTTTTGAGAGCAAATGCCCAACAGAGCTTGCTCTGGGCACAATTCGTGTCTCAGCCTCCCTGGTACCACATACTCCACTCGGCTGGAGCTGAACAATGACGGCACAGTGGCTGTAACCGGGAAGACAAATCTGTCATTCTGTGTGACTGCTTAGAGGTCTTAGCTGTGCTTAAGTTTTCAGAATTTGTGGTGATATAGGGTTTTGTTTTATTTTTATTTTTTTGCATTAATCACAGACAAACATATTCTTCTGTTTAAGGTGTTTTCTTTCCTTCCCCAATATTTTTATTATTAATTTAGTAATAAGTAATAATTTAACAATTCTATTATAAATTTAATAAATAAAATTATTGTTTATTTTTATAAATATTTATTTATGTATTGAGTTAATAAACAGATAAATATATTCTTCTGTTTAAGACATTTTCATACTTAATTTGTTCCCTTGCTTTTCAAAATTAAAAATAATAAAAAATGTTTTGGCAACAAAGATAGATTGACACTTCATGAATATGAGAAGAAAAACAACTTTGACAAACCTTTGACAAATTTGCCAAACACATAAATTACTGTCCATTACAGTGGAAGAGATGTGTGGATACATTTATTCTTTTCTTCAAAAAGCGTATTAATGAAAATGAAAGATAGGGCCAGGAAGAAGTCTCGGTGGGTGCGAGCACTACTGAGCAAGTGCGAAGATGCCGGTTCTCAGGTAAGAAGTTGTAACCCCAGTGTGGGGTGGGGGGCACAGGCAGGTGGACCCCAGAGCTTGCTGGGCAGCCAGACTAGCTGAAATGGTGAGCAAGCTTCCATTTCTGTGAGAAACCCTGTCTCGGGGGGAACAAGGAGGGATCAGCACACATGAACACGAGCACACCTGATAAATAAATAATAGCCTTCTTATGTTAGGGGATTATAGAAATTTTATTTTTAATTTTGTATGGTTACGATACAAAATTTAATCAAAGAATATTTCCTTTCTGACTGCTTCTGCTTGCTTCCTTTTATGATTCTTATCAAAAGTAATTTGCCATATAGAGGAAGGGGCTGTTAGAAACGATTAACCGTGTCAAACAGCAGCCCAGTGCTGAATCCATTACAACTTTGTCTTTGTGGCTCTCAGACTCTCTTTCCCAGATTCCCTGGTCTTTCTCCATCCTCCACCCTTCACCCCAGATTTGATATTACAGGTAGTTCCCTGACCCCTCTTTTCAGATTCGTCTTCCATCTGCCTCCTGAAGTAGCTTGAGGAGAAGAGAGCTGAGCTATGAACTCGAAAGGGTTAGAAGTCAGTCTCCACTGAGCAAGAAGCTTGACAGCCAGGACCTGTTCACCTAAGGCAGCTGAGCCAGCCTGGGCTAGCACGGGAGGATGGAGAGCCAGGAGCACAAACCCTGCTTGGCTCTGACGTCATCAGCCATTTCTCCCCAGGAGCAGTCAGCAGCCTGTCTGATGGAGCATCCAAGAACACATTTTCTGAGATGCAAAATGAACCAGATCTTGCCTGGAACTGACGGGCCTCCCACCCTCCACATGCAGGCTCCAGCCTAACCCGTAATCTCCCAGAGAGAAGGGCATCGTCTTTTCGGTCTGTATCCCATGTCCACTTCCAAAGCTCATGCTCCTAGCCTGATCAGTCCAATGCCCTTAACTCTGAACAATGATTCAAAGCAAGAGAGAAAATATTTCCCACTCAAATTTGGCATAGGATGATCATCACTGTTCGCTCTTTGAAGGGTCTGTGTCATCTGATGATGATTCATTATCTCATTACATGCTATATTTTCTTCACATTGATGATGGGGGAACATTATTATATTTATTTTTCATTTTTACTTAGCTGAAGATAATGAATTCCACTGCTGGCCTATTTCTGTAATCCACCAATCAAGGGAAACTGTAAAGTTCACCATAGTAACAGCTCAGTGTCAGCGGCCCATGTGAGAACCACACAAGCATGAGAGGCCCTGGCCAATCACAGGGCACGGTTATATTCCCATCTCATAGCAACCAGGAGATCTGCATGGCAACATTAGTTGCTATATGAAAGAAAAATTAGGAGCCATATTCTGTTAGTGAGAAATAAAGGTATCAGCTGTTAAGTCATAGTTGAGTCACAATTGTGAGGACCCGTCCTAAAATAGCTACCTAAACATAGCTCAGATCGTACCTGCCACGTCTCAGAGTCCTTTGCTGGGAATGGGCCCCCTCCCACCGGGTGGAACCACCTGTGGAGTGAAAGAATGTCCGTGAGATAAACAGCATGTGAACAGAGTCCTTTGAATACTCACAGCAGTAAAGTAGATTTGCCGATAAATTACACAGAGATGATCACATTTCAGCCCCTGTGGGAGACGGGGCGGATACTGTTCTCAGTTTTCCCTCTGCCCCTCCTCCACCCATCCTTCCCCCCCCCCCTCACATCCTGGCTAATGGCGACACAATTCCTTCCATTGCTTTGGACGAAACGTTGACTGTCTCCTCTCGCATCCACACGCAGCCCCTGCACAGACTTCATAACTTCCTACACCCTGGTTCCCAGCCGATGTGGCTGTGCTTGCTCGCTGCTCCGGCCACATTTGCCTCCTCGTTCATCGGGCCCCTTGCACTAGCTATCTCTTCCAGCATGTTCTTTCCCCGAGATTCTCGCGCCTTATCCTCTTAACTTCCTTCTATTGTTGATCCGAATACAATTTTCTCAGTGAATCATTTTCTGGTCTATTTTAAAATTGTACTCTTGTAGCTACTCTCCCCTTCCTGGCACTAGTGGGCACACAGAGCAACACCTCGCTACTAGTTCATAGTCAGCAAACTCCTGAAGATCGACAAAGGTGGCAGCTTTGTAGATAGAGACAGCAGGCGTGAGAAGCTGACCAGGACAAGGCTCCCGGTTAGAACATGTTAGAGCCTGGGCTTGAACCAGGCACACTCGTCATCCCAGTCCTGTTTCCTTCACCAGCTCTAGAGCCCCTTCTGGTAAGTGCCATGTCAGCACTGACTAGGAAGGGAGAGGAAACCCCTGGGCTAACACCGCTGCTGTGGGCGTGGCCACCAGAAGATAGGTGGGTGGGAGAGGCTGCCCTAAATGGTGGTGACCTCCGCCCTCTCTGGACTGATTTTCTTAGATGTAGAAATAATCCATCCAACCATTTGGCATTCCCATCCCTCATTTGTTTGGCTCAAAACAAGGATTTAAATGGAATTTTTGGTCTGCAACATTTTTTAATTGTTCTTGCCTGTTCTCACTGCCACAGAGCTGTATTAAGTACACACTGCATGACTAGTTGGAGAAAAATAGAAACAAAAATCAGTCATCAAATATGGTTTTTTAGTCTCTGCAATGAATCGTGCTTGTGCTTCCAGAAGATTCCTAACATCACAAAACTATGTGGAACTGTGGCCTTCAATTAACCTTATAATGAAAACTCCTAGTGGGTGGCATACCTCCATTCTCCACCCTACATGAGCAGTGGAGGGTGAGAGGGGAGGAGGAGAGGAGTGAGACCACCCAGGAACAGGGCAGGGCGAATAAGTAGACAGGAACGCTGCTCCATGCTGCCCTACTGTGTGGGAAATGCTGCGGGCACAGGCCACCAAACGTGTCAAGAAAGGAGAAACACAGGTCAGAAGCCGTAATGACGGCCACCCACTCCATACGAGCATTTACAGTGTGACGGGCGTTTTGCTAAGTGCTTTCATACAGGCTCAGATTTAAGCCCTTCAGCAAGCCTGGGGTGGGGGGTTACTCTCTGTGTCTGTGGAGTACACCCAGAGAAACTGGTGCTGCCACAGGACTCTGCCACATAACCAGAGCAAGTGACAGGGCTGCCATGTGTGCCCTGTGATGCTCATTCTTACCTGTTATATTGTACCTCCTCTTTTTAATAAGAATAGCTTATGTAATCCAAACAGAAAAATGCACAAGAGGAGCTGACGTAGAAAACATTTCTTAAGGAGGCTGGGGAGAGAGCTCAGCCAGTGCCGTGCCTGCTGCGCAAGCATGAAGCCCCGCGTTCAATCCCCAGAACCCCAGAGAACAAGCTGGACATGACATGTAATCCCAGCACCAGGGAGGCAGAAGGATGGGGTTTGCTGGCCAGCCAGCCTAGCCCGCTCGGCAAGCTCCAGGCTCAGTAAGAGACCCTGTCTCACAAAACAAAGTGGAGAGCTGAAGAATGGCACCCAAGGTTGTCTTCCGGCCTTCATATGCATGCACACACACACACACACACACACACACACACACACACACAGCAAGCATTCAGAGCCACATATGGGAGCACACACACGGAAGCCCTGGAGGAACCCAGGCCACAGTCCCACTCCTCTCCCCTCATTCCACACCACAAAACAAGGGACATATTCCCAGAAATGCTAAGGCCCTTCCCAAAAGTGTTCTTACGAAGGTTGTGGGATCAACTGTTCCATGTTCTCTTCTCTATGGTCATAAAACTCGCAAGCGAGACTTCTCACTCACCAGAGACTCTGGGAGGTCCGCTCCCTTGGCTTGAGGGGTGAGGGCCCAGGGAAAGGCACCCAGAGCGAACGGAATGGGGGCCTGAAGTGCTGTGCTGAACTCCTGACCCAGCTGGCAGGAGCAGGCGTGGTTACGCAATTCTCATCGCTCCCTGCAGTATTTTGACTCAGAGCACATTTAAACCTCAGCATGGGGTAGGGAGGAGGAAAGACCTTTTATGGATTCCTGAATTATTACCAAAAAATCCTTGCGGGGGCAATATGAGCAAAGTACACCACTATACGTGTATGGAAATATCATAATGAAGGAATAATAACACTAAGGAGAAAACATGGAAAAACCCCAGCTTAAGTAGAGGATGAACATGAAGCCGGCCGGCCCAAGGATCTGGCATTCTGACACTGTCCAAGACAGACTCCCTAAAATAAGCTCTCAGGCTATTTTACTCTGGAGAAGATGGCACTCTGCACATCAGGGTAGTTAGAGCTCCATCTCCCAGCATCAGGACCATCTCTCGGCTCAATTGTATGTCGATCAAATAGCAGCAGCATCTACCTGCTACTTTCAGCTCTAGAGAACGACCCCTGACCATCCCATACCTGAATCCCCTCAGTATTTTTTATGTTTGAACCACACGTGAAATACTGGCATGTTTGCAAACGCCATAAAAGACAGTGTTGCCTGTTGAAAAGGGTCTGGGGTCAACTCAAGTTCCAGTCCTGAGACTGGCCAATGGTGAGCTCTTTGGCAAGTTTCCCTCTCTGGCTTTCAGCTCTGCCATGTGTAAAACGGCTACAAAGACAGCTACCTTCCACAGACATTCCTCTGCAGAGCAAAGTATTGTGTTGGGAACGAACCTCATGCGATGTCTGGAAAATGGAATTCAATTATTCTCTTGCACAACTATATAAAAGCAAAGTACAAAAGCAAATGAACCAAGAGATTGGCCAGTGTAGCGTTCTACTCAGATCTCAGTCCTTGCTGAGCTGTCCGCGTTAGCAACGTGGGCTTGAATTTCTCAGGAGGAGAGACTGAAATACCACCAACCCCATTTTCAAAACAAAGACACCCAGCTCCCCAAGTTTTGAGACAAGTCTGCTCCCTTTCTTTTTAAAATCGAATGCCAGTTCTGTTCATCACATACTCAAGGATGAAGCCTCTCCATCTAATGGTAAGAAACACTCGATTTCAGTGTCGGCCTCTTCTGATCTTTACAATGCTGCCTCGTTCCACTAAAGCCATGCTTAAGAGCAGCTCCATCTTGTTAGACTTTATGGATATCAACTTCAGTCATCTCTCTAATCATGGACTGGATTTCAGGCTATAAAGAAATGTGCCAGGCCTTGGACAAATGAAACCCTAGTTTTAAATGATAGACAGGAGAACTTATATTAGTTCCGCCCTTCTTTTAAATATCTGCATAAATTATTTGGTGCTTCTGTGGGCACATTAGAGGGATGGCTTCCAATGACTTTCTACGGAGGTAAGTTTCACATTAGGGACTTGAGACAGCTTTGTGAGACAGTTGTACCTGCCGTATGATTAATGCCAGAAAGTGCAATTAAGTTATCAACTGAGGAAACTGAGCCTGAGGAAGGGGCTGTGGCTATCTGGAGGTCCAGCCCAGGCTTTGGGTACCAGGATGGGGAACAAGAGGACTCTGTGAGGCCAGAAAAATGAATAAGAAGGGTGAACTTTAGGACTGAGGGGCTGGGGATTCAGATGTCTGGGTGATGTCTGGGGGCCCTGGCTGATTGGGATATGGTGGTTGCAGAATGATGTTGCCCAGGAGGCCTGTGGGACAAACCTAGGGCATTTTGTCCTAGTTTTCTAGAAAGCGCTATCAGGGAATAGAAGAGGTAAGTCTGTCCACTCTTGATATTAGTGAAAAAACTTGTAGAAAGTGAGCTTCCTCCAGAGCTTCAGGGCAGACCTGCAGACAGTGGTGGGAAGGAGATACCTTCCAGAACTGCAGGAATGCCTTCAAGGAGACCCCCAGGAGACATGGTCTGTGCTTGGACCAAGCAAGAGGAGCCGTGCTCTGATGGCCTCACAGAGACATCTCAAAGCCTCTCAAAGAACACTTGGAAACCTTGTCACTTAGGATCTGGGTCTCACCTCTGGCACACTGACAACTTTTTCCTAAACATCTTTCTCCTGACTTAGGCCATTCAGACCCGAGGAACACATTCCCAGTGTCTCTTGCCTGGCATCCACGTGCCATCAGGGAGCGGGGATTTTGCTGCTGCAGACTTTGGAGGCAGGCATGGCTTCACGGATAAGTGGGCAGTCAAGTCAGAGAAGGTGATGACCAGCTAACCCAGTGTTGGTTAGGCAGAATACCCGGGAGAAAAGGTTGTGTAAAAAGTGCTGCTTGCCAGTGGTACTCAGAGGCCATTTTAATAGATCTAATCTGTAGTTCAAGAACGTATGTGATCATCAAAACACTTGAATAACTTCACTGATGTTGTTTCACTGCAGACCCCGCAGATATTACAGTGATCTTATCTGACTTGGACTCGGCCCTAGGAAGAAACAGGGCAGGGCATGTGGCTGGGATTCTGCTGCTTTGAAATTGGTTTCTTCTGCATCTATTATGCAGCCCTCCCTTAGATGATTTCTCTCAGGGGATGCTGTCTGAAAGGCTGATGTTACCAAACAGAGAACTCAAAATCATCACACAGGACCAGGGTCCTTTAATATGGACGAGGGTGCCGCCAGGTAGACCTGCCCAACAGCCTAGCTCGGCATGCACCCTTGATAGACAGCTTGTTTGAGTGGGGGGACACTTTCGCTGCATGTACCCAGCCCCCACGCCTACACGCATCCCCATCCAGACCACTTCTGCAGAGCGTCTACCTCAGCCCACTCCCTGGGAATGATGAAGAATCTCCAGGTTCTCCCACCAAATTTATGCTGTTCTTGGGAGGAACAGCTATCAGATGGGTCCGAGCTTCACATGCGTTGATCCCTGCTCGCACAGATGATGAGTTACACGTCACATGACGACGGCCATGCCATGTCCAAAAGATGATCTTTCACAGCACTCATCCTCATCCTCTGGTATTAAATTCCTGTTGCCCACCCCTCTTCAGGATGTTCCCTGAGCCTTGAAGGAGCACTTATCACTTCGACTAACTGGCCTCTTCGTCCACAGCTGACCACTGCAGGAAGAAGCTTCTCTGACAAAAACTGAAAGCAGAGCTGATATTTGGCATATAAATACTACACAGGCAGATTAACGACATGTCCGTTTAGAAAACAGCAGTATTCCATTCCCTGCTAGGGCCCATGGTCTCCCCAGCCACAGGCTGTTGATCAGGTTTCCAGTGCTGGCATAAGTCCTTCCTGTGGGGCAGGCTCAAATCCGATCAGAAAGCAGTTGATGCCGCCATAATGGGCATGCCACTGTGGCACCAGCGGGCACTTCTTGCCTGGCAGGCAGGTATTATAGTTTGTAGAGTGGACAACTGTGTGAGAACGTGTGACTTTTCTCTCACAGTAACCTGCGTAGCACCTTCTGGCACAAAGAAAACCAGCTGGCAGAGAGGAAGCCTACAGCTCAGTTCCAGCTTGATGTCTCGGGCCTTGCAACCAAACATATGGTGGCTTCAGCAATGGGATCTTACTATCCAGTTTTGGTAGGCGAGCAAAAGCAGTGACAGTAGCCTGGACTGTTTAGGGGACCGCTCCAGCCTCCCTTACTAACTCCTGAGAAGCACTGGGATTTGTGTTTAATAAGCCATCACTTTGGAGAGGAACATTACCCACTCATACAGGGTACCTTTGCTCAAAATACTTTTATAATATTTTTAAGAAGCTTACGAGATAGGTTTCCATATGGCTTTTTAATATATCCTTAATTTCAGTTTTTCCTCCCCCTCCTCTCCCCTCTCCCCTTCCTCCAACAGTACTCAACTTTTGTGTCTAAGGAAGTCCACTACCCTCCCTCCCCTAGGGCCTCTGTTTATCCTTCCCTCTCTGCGGGGGGCCAGCCCCACCCTTTCCCCCAGAATACTCTTGAGGAGTGAGCGATAAGAGATTTAGACAGAAATATAGAGGGGAGAGAGACAGATAGAAACAGAACAGCCTCAGGAGGGCCTGGATCCTAATCCACCAGCCCCTTCTGTCTCTTCTAAAGGGCTGTTTATAGGAATGCCAAGGGGTGGAGCAAAAGACTTCCCCTAGCTCAGCCAAGCGCATATCCTTCCAAACACCTGATAACCACACACATGGTCAGTCCATCCCCTTACACAGCCCTGCTGGGTAAAGCAAGCTCAGATCTCACTAGGAAACCTCTGTGGGCTCCCACACCTCTCTAATGACACCTGTCTGGTTACATGGCCTCAAGTTAAACAACTAATCTAAGAGTTTGAAGCTAGGATTCAAATATGAAAGAGAACATGAGGAGTCACTTCACGCAGTGTATTTTTTTCCAATTCTATCCATTTACCTGCAAATTTTATACTTTCATTTTTTTGTGGCTGAAAAAAATTCCGTTATGTAATATGCACCACCATTTCATTATCCGTGTGTCAGTTGGTGAAGAGGTATGCTAGTTCCATTTCCTACATCTTGTGAGTACAGCAGCAATAAACATGGGCGTTCATGAGCGTGTGCAAGCAATGAGTGTGCAAATGTCTCCGCAGTAGCCTGTAAAGTCATCTGAGTATGTGTTCAGAGTGGTAGAGCTGGGTCATCTGAGAGTTCCATCTCTAGCTTTTTGAGAAAGCTCCACACTGATTTCTACAGCTGCTTGATCAGTTCTCACTCCCACCAGAGTGTATAACGGCTCTTCCCTCTCCAGAGTGTATAATGGCTTTCCCTCTGCACGCCCTCACCAGCACCTGTCACTTATTTTCTTGGCAATAGCCATTCTGATTAGGGTGAGATGGAATCCCAAAGTAGTTTTGACTAGCTTTTCCCTAGTGACTAAGGATGTTGCACACTTTAAACAATATTTGCTATCCATTTGTATTTCCTCTGTCTATTCAATTCCATCACTGTTTTTTTATTAGATTGTTTGTTTTCTTGATGTTTGTAGATTACAGATATTAGTCCTCAGACAACTGGATAACTAGCAAAGATTGCCTCCTATTGTATAGATGGCTCTTCACTTGATTAACAATTT